GCCTGTTTTCTTACCTCTGGTCCATGAGATCATTTTAAAAATATGCCTCGTTATTAAAATATTTTTGGATGCAGATTGTACCAGAAACTACTAAACTTGGTGAGGAACAGAAGAATCTTTACCTGCTGTACAAAGTATGAACCTACATCATAGCAAGACTTAAGCACCTTACTCAAAATGAGAAAGGAAATTTGTGCTATAGTGGCTGAAACGGACATTAAAATCTGTTATCAGCAACTAATATTTTGATACTGGAACATTTGTCAGAAATCAAAAGTTGGCAAATCTGGATAACATATGTCCCCCTATATGTTACACTTTTTTTGAAAGCATTTCTACTAGTCATTTTAGATGAAACAGGTACCACTCACAAACAGCTAACATAGTACCAAAGTTTTACATTTCTTCCTGTTGTAGAAGCTCCTCCACATGTGGGAAGGAAAGAGCCATGAAAGCCCATCTCATGAAACCAAAGGCAAAATGACACTCGTGGCATGATGAAAGAGAACGTGCCTGCAAGCCATCGCATGAGAAAGTAGCAGTGCATGTCAAGGCTAAGAAACTCCATGCGATTTAAGTACCAGACCGTGGTCCTACTTAGGCATTTGGAGTCAATTTGGGATTGTTTCACCCTTTCTACAGAAAGATTTGTACCAGTCTTGGTGGCACCCAAACCCAACCTTGGCTCTTTGAAAGAAAATGAAGAGGATAAATGGAAAGCTTATCTTCCCTCAGGCAGACTACCGTTGTTTCACACACCCAAACCTGACCCAGTACATAAAGTAGAGCACACCTGCCCACAGAAAGACTGCTTATTTACAAGGGATGGTTTATTCAGCAGGGTTCCCCTGGGCAGTAAGTAGCTAATGTTCAAACATCTGAGCTCTTTGCAGTACCAAATTCTCTCCCGTTAGTCCCTAGTGAGCATCAGTGCATCCAACATAGAATCTGAGTTCAGCACTGTAGTTGTTTTTTTGGAGGCAGTCTTTAGAGAAAGATGTGTTTGTCAGGTGGAACTCGGAGGGAAAAAAGATGACCGTGCAAGTGGCTGACTTCAGATATATTTATTACTTGACTGTTCACGAAGCCTGGGAGAGTCTGTTTTTCTCCCTGACGTTTGATTGTCTAGCTTGTAGGTTCTCTGGGATGTTATTTTGTAGCTGATCAATCCTAAGGAAATCATTGCTGTTAATAAGCAGCAGTGTCCTGTGTCCTCATACAGCAGTTGCTTTCCCTCCTCTGGCAAAGAGATTGCAGCAAAAAATACAGCTATATACATGCATGAATGCGCTATCACCTTACTCATCCCCACTCCCTTCATAAAGTACATGTCCTGTATGGGCCAGCAGTGATCCAGCGTGCAGGTGCTCTCTGAAGACAAACAGCCCTATGGTGGGTGCTGGTTGTTGTCCTACAGCCAGCTGCTCACAAATCTGCCGGCGGTCTGTTCACCACCTGCCACCTTTCCAGCGAGGCTTCCCCCTTTGCCC